GGAGTGACTAAAATAGAAGGAGGGGAAGAAATGCTCGATTGGTCCAGTGAATGAAATGCACGATTGGCATCAGTCGCAAACAATCTGCGATTCACTGACGGCCAGAGCTGTTCAAAAAGGGAATGGATGGCGTGGCTAGAATTGAAGGGGGCTAATGAAAAATAGCTTATTAAAAGAAGATTGCGAGCATTTATAGCCTCTGCCTTCGCCTTATTAATAATATGGAAGGGGTCAATCAAGTTCCTTGAATAGCAAGGAGGAACAGGCCAAGTTTGGCCGAAACCAAGTTGGCGAGCAAAAAATTGGGGAGCATATATTTCTATCCCTGCCTTGGCATTGGTCCCGGTTAAAATATCATGGAATAATTCCCTCCCAGTTAAAAATTAGATCCAAATGAGCAGAGAGGTGCTTGCGCTGTCTATAGTGGAGGGAGAATGCACATAGTTTGGAGTCAAAAAAGGAGGAAAAGGAAAGAAGGGATTGAATCCAAAGAATAAAAGAATGAAAAAATGTCCCTTCTAGACATATTTACAGGAGCCAAGGGCTCAATGGCTAGCCCATAGCAACTAGTAGAAGAACGAGAAATTAATGGAGCACCAAGCAATGGAAAATAGGATCTCAACCACAGTTGAGTGAACCAAAGAGGTCCACTACCAGTAGAAGATGCACCATTCTTCAATTGAGTTTGAAGAGAAGCCATGCCTCTATAAAGGGCAGCCAAAAAGAAAGAACATAAATTCAAAGGCCTGCCACGCGCCAATTCGTGCGCTATGGGTAAATAACTAAGGAAGGGCTTTATGCTTGGCACGCACAAAACATATTTACAAAGCCAAACCAGAAAAAAGGCCACTCGCTCAGTATGGGAAGGCTCAGCGCTCGAATGGTTATGAAGGGCTTGCAGGCTTGAATAAGACTCGGTGTAGTTTTTACCAAACTTTGGGGCGCCACCAGAAACCAAGATACCAGGAAAAATGGTATCGCCCAAAGGTGGTAGATTCACTAGGGCCCCAACATCCCTTTAAAGTAATAGACATGGGGCCAAGAGGGAAAATAAAGGTATTATACTCAGAAGACCAAAAACTCAAAGCGATTCAAAAAAGTGCTGAATCAAAAGTAGGGGGTTGAATAGAGATTTCTAACAAATCAGAAATCCTAGCATTATCAAAAAATACCTTAGTAGGACCATGGCCCACAAGACGAGCATGCCACCTACGGAAAACTACATCAAATTTAGGCAAAGTGCGAATACTTCTTTCACGAAGTGGCCCCAGCGGCAGAGAGTTTAGAAATGGAGGGCCTTGAGTACAAGGAAACAGTTGGCCCGCCGCCGCCTATTCGACTGCCTCTGCATTGTTGAAGAAATGACCTAGGTAGAACTCATTGAGTTCGACATTGGCAGGCGCGAGAAAAGTCGGAGTTATGTATGGACGACTCAGAAGTTTCTGAAAGTCATCAAAACTAAAGGAGTCGCCAGATTGAGATTGTGAAGTAGCCATTAGGGATGAAACGGAGTTTTTTCAGGGTTACGTAGAAGGGAAGCAAAAAGATGAACAGTAAATCGTGTGAGAGAAACACAAAAAAGTGAGGCGTGATTTAATGGTGCAGTGAAATGGCATGTTTGGGGGTTATAAGGGTTTGCAAAACGTCGCACCTTTTCAAGCTATGGAAGAAAACAATGATTGAAATTTTTAGGAATTTCGAATGTTGCTGGAAACATAAAGTGAATATGGAAAAATTTAATAATTGGTATTAATTCTGCTATATTGGGGGGTAATTGTTGACATATAAAAATTCAACCCAAATCGAACGGCCCAAGGAATGAAGCCCAATTGGAGGATCCCCAAATCAGATAGCCTAAAGAACGAAATCCAATCAAACAATTCAAGATGAAGGCCCAAATAGGGAGGCCCAAGAACGCGGTAACACCATCGCCCAAGTTTGCAAGTCGCCCAGAATCTGAGCGAATGGAGTGCCATGCAATCGCCCAGAGCTGTTACTCTATTCTCGTCCAAACCTTCGAGTCGCCCAAGGTCTTAGCAAACATAAAGTGTTGTAGTCATCAAGAAGTGCAGTTATCAAAGCAATTATTAAAGCAGTCATATCACGTTCCACGATTCAAGGAATTCAATCGAAAACGGTTGAACGACGAAGAGTAATCGCAGCAGTTAAAAAAGGTAGTTCCATGACAAGTTGGCCATTACGAAGAAAGTGTGCAGTTATAAAACGATCCAGCAGTTTTGAGGCAGTTGATCACAAAGAGATCATCCAGAGAGTATAAAGGGAAGGAAAGACATAGAGCAAAGAGACCGAATCAAAAACTCTCGAACAGAAAACATGTAATTTTAAATTCCTTAGCTTAAATTTAAACACTTTTTTCAGTAACTCGTGTGCTTGCGCCCCTTGGAGGCATTCTGTTTTTAATTTCCAATTGTAAAGTCATCGCCAATAAAAGAACACCCCTTTTTGGGACTTTGTCTCAAGAGGTTTGTCCCTTACACAATCGTCTGATCCCTTTTAATTGTTAGCGACGAACCCGCGAGAAACAGGTAGACTTTCCTTTTGTTACAAAAATAAAAGAAAATAAGACTTTGTAACATATTAATAATTCGAACGATTTTTCCCTGAAGCGGGGTTTGTTTGCATATATGCACTATTGCAACTTCCCTTTTGTTACAAAAATAGAAGAAAAGAATATTTTTTTGGTTAACTCAATGTGTTTTTTGTGTATACTTGTACAGGAAGATGTGAGTAGCACTACTAGTAAATGTAGCTTCCGCGATGGAAAGTTCCATCTCTAAGGGCCATTATTTCGTCGGTAAACCTGATTGTCGATAGATGTTTTCCGTCGACACATACCATTGGTGAAAGTCACGTCGGTAATTTTCTAATAGCAACATAACCGTCAGTGACTACCGGCTAATTTACCTTCATATACATATTCGTCGGTACCATCAGTGACTACCGACTAATTTACCTTCAGATACATATTCATTGGAAAACACCAATGAATTTGAATGGATGTTATTAGCGTCAAGTTTACTGACATTGTTAGTTTGAAGGAAACTACCTAAGAATTTATTTCATTCCTATTTCCGTTGGTAAATTTATATGGATATTTTCATTTTTATTTCCATTGGTAATTTACATACAATATTTCTTTCACACATTTTCGTTGGTAATATATACCTACAGTATTCCCTATTTTTTTATGAAAACTTCCTACGAAAATAAATTTGATGCAAATTTGCTTTAAAATGTAAATAAACTAAATTAAATTGTTATATTAATTCATCTTCATCCAATACAAGCAAGAATCTAGGCTAGCATGATTTTAAGTTATTAAAAGAGGAAGAATGGAAAATCATCACTCCAAATGAATACGATGATAAGAAGTATGTGGAACCAGATTGTTGACCTTCAACCTCGAGTCTTGATTATTCAAGATTTTGAAGTAATTAACCTTCAATTATTGCTAACTTTGATCTTCTCTTCCAAAATATATAATAGCCCCTTGTTCTTAATGAATTTGATTATATGAATGTGTTTTAAGAGGTCATAGAGAGATTCCCATTATTTTGCTCAAGTTCTGAATTTATAAAAGTCCTACATAGATCAATAATCGCATCCTTATTTTAATCCAAGATGCATTTTAATAAAAAAAAAAAAAAAAAAAAGGAATCTGCAAAATAGGTCCCCTAGAATAACCCCTTGCATTCTGGCCACTAGGCCGAGCATATTGATTTCGTCTATGGCTTGCTATATTTGTAAACTAGATAGCCGCGAGTCCGCCAGCTATTCTCCCATGCGCGCGACTATTCTTCACTATGGACAATTATTTCCTGGACTTGTTTATGGCATATCACACCCCAGCCTCACTCCACCTAGAACCAAGTTGGCATGAAGAGGCTCTAACCGATGATATTGCTTACAGTGAATGCTATATACCAAACCATACTGCAAACTGTTTGCTCCACTTAGCCTTATCCCCAACTAGGGGAATTTTAATGATAGGTTCTACGGAGTACCAACTTACAGACTAGAAAATAGATCCATCTTAGCTAAAATGTCGCGTCGGGCCCAAAATACACACGTAGATGTGTTTTAGTCTACTTTATATCCTTTCACAAGTAGGAAATAGTTGACATCATATTACTAATAATTCAGCATTCAAAATACTCAAAAGTGTTAATCAGACGAGGATAAATAAGGTAGTACCATTATGAACCTTATTTACACATACAGCTCAGTAATAGATTAAAATGAAAAATAACACGATAAGCAAAAAAGCACAAGTATAACTTGCGGATATCTAATAAACAGAAATTTCCAAACGTCGAATTCCTCAACATAACCAATCATCAAATTGAAATTGAATTCTGAGACATTAATCAATGACATAAAGAACTTAAGCACCCAGTACAATAACTTAAAATCTGTGCCCATTTAGATAAGGAGAAGTAAGGGGTCTCCGTCCAGATATGTGCTCTCTGAATCTTATGATTAGCAATAGTCTTCGATACTAATCTTCCTTCGTTGTAATTGAGAAGTCGATCTCCTTCACTAATCGTTGTTTCTAGCAATATCTTACCATCTTCGAACAAATACAAGGGATTTCATTGAAGCTACAGATACGAGTCATCCTCAGTATAACGATTACACCATTGATTCATACTGTAAGGAATATAAAGCATTTTCGTCCAAGATTTTGTATTGCCGTAGTCTTCCATCACCCATAAATCGAAGGATATTCTAAATAAGTAGCTGTAAAAACAAAACTTTCCCCTCAATATAGTTAAATGGAATAGAGTTCCATTAGGTAAACGAAGAATTGAAGGTGGTAATTCCAATTCTTTATATGTTTCATTCGTTATTTCGAGTGAAACAATCACAAAACGTCCATGAAAGATATCTTCGTCGAGACTAGCAATCCAATGGAATGCTTCGTTAACCAAGTTGCAATCTTCCCAGCACCACACATTTTTGTATTGTATATCCTCAACTCATCTCCACGAATTATTTTTCAATGAATAGAATGTAACCTCAGGTCCGATCACTTTCAAGACTTTGTAGTCATGGGAGATTGAGTCATAAGCCAATCCATACATACTTCCATAAAAGCATAATGAGGGTGAAACAATAGGACAATCTGGAAGTCCATTCAATTCTCTTGTGGAAGGGTTCCTATATACACGACTTCTTCAATATCTGTAACGCAAAACAAGCCATCACAAGAATTGTGGATTCTCCACCACCCTTTAAATGTAATATTGAGTTTTATCACGTCCTGGTGATCATCCGAGGACAAAGTTGAAAGGGAGTATGAACAAATAGAATTTCGTTCATCTTTGAGATAAAGAATCGCGCTCGAGAATTCTGATTGACTCTGATGTTTCTTTTTGAAGTGGGAATCCTGAGAAATTAAAGAGTAGAAAGATTTTGAAACGCATTTGAATCGCATAAGGGATTTGACCGGAAGCGGGGACAGTATATCAATGATGATTTCCCAAGGTAATTTTGCTGCTGCCATTATAGGTTAAAGAGTTCAGATGGATTCCGAATGAGGATTGGGAAGGAGAAAGAATTTATGGCAGATGCAGTCTGAAGGGGACTATTATATATTACTAGGATTTGAGGTTATCGATACAAAACTTTCCGAAACTTTGTCCATCGTAGCTTTTATTTAAATGGAACAATCAATAAACAGAACTTTCCTAATCTTTGCCTTTTCTTTTATTTTAATGTAAAATTCTCTAGATGTCATCCCATTCCGTTAGCCGTTATATGCAATAAATAGGGCACAAATTAAAAAATAGTAACTAACACAATATTCCTTAATGTTTGCATGTTTTGAGTAATACTACCTAATTTTTCATTTTGACGTAAAATCCTCCCCAAATCACACAAACTTTTGCATAAAACAACATTTTCATTCTTTCTTTTTTTTTCTTTTTTCTTTTTTTTTTTTTTTTTTTTAAAACAACGAATTTATCCCATCATTAAATCAAAAAAAAAAAAAAAAAAAAAAAAAAGGAAACAAATAAAGAATTAATTGCAATCATAATCCCAATTTTTTATCTTTATAGGAGGTGGTGGTGAGATTTAGCCTTTCTTTGTAAATCATTCTAACACAATACTACCTAATTTTTCATTTTGACGTAAAATCCTCCCCAAATCACACAAACTTTTGCATAAAACAACATTTTTATTCTTTCTTTTTTTTTCTTTTTTCTTTTTTTTTTTTTTGTTTGTAAAACAACGAATTTATCCCATCATTAAATCAAAAAAGAAAAAAAGAAAAAGAAAAAGGAAACAAATAAAGAATTAATTGCAATCATAATCCCAATTTTTTATCTTTATAGGAGGTGGTGGTGAGATTTAGCCTTTCTTTGTAAATCATTCTAACACATTCTACTACATTATTTTTTCTATAATACTCATTTTCAACACATATTCTTCATTAAAATAATATTACACATAAATCCAAAAAAAAATCTTTTTTTTACCCACACATTTCAATATCAATCAATATTCTATAATACACTTTTTGAAATGAAAGGGGCACAAACAGGCCTTTAATAGGAGGCAAGTGGGGGGTTTTCAGAGATGGAAAAGTTGTTTTATTTTTAATTTTAGTTTTAATTGGACTCATTTGAACTTTTTGAAAAAAAAAAATGTATCATGCCTGCAATTTATTCTTTTTTTCCCTTCTTTTCTTTTTGTTTATTTAAAGAAGGGGTAAATTCGTCATTTTATAATGTTTTTATGGAGTAAAGGGATGAAAATATTGTATTTCACAGAGTTTATAGTATTTAGAGGGGTTTTGCATCATAATGAAAGGTTATGAGGTATTACTCAAAACAGGAAAATATTAGAGGGATATTATGTCAATTACCTTTTTTAATACTTGCCCTATTTACTGCACTTAGTGGTTAAACTAATGAAATTAGACGATATGGGATATGCCACAACATATGCAAATGTCAACGGGATATTGTGCCAATTAACCTAAAAATTATATTGTATGCTTTTTTATATTTCCCGAATTGGGAAACGTATTCAGCCAAAGTTGTTTTATTCATTTTATAAATTAAGAGGAAAATTAAAGTCAAAATGTAATTTGTATTTTATTATAATCATAAAATTTAAGATTGAAACCTATATCATTTTTCAGATTTTAACACTTGATTCTCTACTTCGAACAGACCCCCAGTTTTAATTAAGATTGAAACCATCTATTTGCCAACCGTGTGGATTTTGGACAGTGCATGAGCATGTTAGCTTATTTTCCAAAGTTTGTTAGAACAATAGTAATTTATAAGTAACTTAACTTACTTTCAAGAATAGCCAAATATGCTTAGTGGCTCCCATTATCTTGAACGGATCTTACCTGGGATCGCAAATCCTAAATTTATATATGAAGAGCGGATCTATTGTATCAGTGTCTATAATTCATTTCTTCTGTACTGAGACATGGCCCAGACTCCTACGAGAGGCAGCAGTGTGGAATTTTTCATGAGAAAAGCCTAACAAAAGCAAGATTTAGGTTACTGACAAAGAGGAAAACTAAAGCAAGGGAGCTTAAGAAAATTATCCAATAGCACACACCCTAAATTTTCTATACAAGTTCATGAAATTTAGAAGATTTCGTACATACAGGTTTATAGTACACAAGTTCATATATTCATCGAAAATCTACTTGAACATTCTTTCACTACCAAAGGGATCCATCCACCAATCACTAATTCACAGTCGATGTTCCTTCAATATTTGCATAGCCATTCGCCAAAAACCAATCAAAAAAATCACCAAAAAGGGAATAGGATCCTACAGAAAACAGATTCAAATTGAGTTACGGGGCTCTATTGATGAAGCCACATTGATAGCAAAGAAATTATGGGTATAAAAAAACTTATCGAATTTACCTTAGTATATGCTGCTCCCAAACTTCTTAGAACCACATTTTAAAACTGAACTTACTATAAAAGCTTAGCTAGCTACAAATAGAAAGCTTCCCTGTCCATTCATCAGCCAGCCCGTAATCAAGACTAATTTCCCTCATAGACAGGATATTCTCCATAGCGAACACCATAAGGTAAGGAAAAGATGCATTATTATGATCATACATCACAAGCTGTACAAAAACATTTGGAGTTGAACAATGGCTCATGTAACATGCTACGTTCCTCATTCTACATACATCCATGGAAAATTCCAAAGGGATTGATGGATGTGCTAGATGAACATAGTCAGAGAATATTTGTGATAAATCACCCCCATTCCGCCCATCTCTTAGCAAAACAATTCCGGTGAACCAAATAATCAACATTCATTGTAAAAGTCTGGGCTCGCTCTTGTGTGAGAACAACTCCCGTGTAGTCACATATAAAAGAACCAGCTTGGATCAAGTCCAAGGACCTCACTCCCCAACCCGTTTCCCTTGACCTAAACACTTCAAATCGGTGCCTAATCCCATTTTGACTCACACGATTCCAACAAGTAGGAGGGCAGTGAAAATTTATTCCACACTCAAAAACCAACGGTTTTTCCCTTACCAAAATCCCATCCATGTCATATACAAACTCGCAACCATTTTTCTCTATGCAAACGCAATCGTTCAAACACCCTTCCACGCATCCACATCCCATCCCATTCCCATATTTATGCACGTATCTAGGGAAAACTATTGTAGTAAGATATTCATAATAAATAGGGTCACGATCTCCATCAATGTTATTAAACAAAAAGACCAGCATGTTCTCCCTATTTCTCGACAAATTAAGTGTAACATAACCTTTAGGCCGAATCTCCAATGGCCGAAACCTAAGATTCTTTGCAAACTTCATTACCTCACTTCGCATTTTCACCTGGTTTCTAATCTAAACAAGCTTGAATTTATAAACCCTAAATCCCGATTTCCCAACATCAAACCAAGTATCAGTTATCCTATTTATGTTGGTTAATGAATTTTAATCATGAAATTAATTTTCCTTTGAAGATTAAAACCATGTAAATAAGGATTTTCGTGACCTTGAGATCATTGGGTTATAAAAATATCACACATAGAAAAGGGAGATGATAACCTTTGAAGGAGCTATTAATAGCCTAGCCAATTGCTTCCTCCCTTAGATCTTCTCCCTTATTCTCCACTAGGTGTATTTCCATTTTGGGGAAAGTGAAAAATGGCTAACCATAATTCTCATATAAAATATCTCAATAAAGGGCAAATTTATAATGCCCTATTAGGGTTTGAAAATTACACAAATTTCCTTGTACTTTATTGTAGTAGACAAATTAAGTCACACACCTTTTATTGGAGCTAAGAGAGGGACCTAACCGGACTCACATTACCCAAGCTCAAATAGATATTTTCAATTTAGTCAACTCTTGACCAATTGGGATACATCTATTAATCCCGACTTATACTACCAAAAAATCGAGATTTCACTCTCGAGTCGAGTGATAGTTATAGAAGCAAATTATGATTCGATAACAATATCCTCTAATTATCGTTCTACAAGTCAATCCCCATTTGACCGTCAATATTTTGAAACTGCAAAATGATCGTTTTGCCCTTCAACATGTATTACCCTCTAAGTCCCGTTTTCATACGGCAAATTTGTTGCGATCAAATCACAATGTAAAATCCAACAATCTCATCGTTGACCTACTGAGCTCAGATTCAATTTGCCTAGAAAAATATCTTAATGATCATCTCATTTCAATGATTAATGGATTACACTATTGTAGTATATGATCTCTAATTGTTTCGGCCCGATTCCCAAATCATCAAGATCAATCTTCTATTTAAAACTTCACTCATTGGTACCTCAAAGAACTTGAACTAGAAATCAAAAGTACATTACTCACTTAGGATTTAGGTGACCTGTTTGATAATCAAGTAGAGTCTCATTTTAAACGGTTACAAATGAGTCATCTACGCGATCCCGTTCAATGTGTATTGAAACACATTATTGTTCCTATTTTAAGATCTAGACAAATCTTAATAAGAACAATACAATCTTATCAACATAAAGCGTCCAACTTTATGAACCAATTGTGAACGACATAATTTTGATCACATCACAAATTGTGTCTTAATATACCTGATCTATCAAGCATACAATTTGTGACATCCTATATGATCATAAAACCTTAGACAATCACTTCGAATTATAACACGCAAATAAATAAACGTCAATTCATAATATGATTTTATGGAACAGTACTCGAAAAATGGCCATCAAGCTAACAATCTCCCACTTACCCTTCTTAGAGTATGTCTGACATAGCAAGAATACTCATTCCCTTAAGATGTCAATCAAAAGTCTTAGCTGGTAAGGTCTTAGTGAACGAATCCGCAAGATTATCTGCTGATGCAACTTACTAACTGTCACGTCTCCTCAATGGACAATTTCTCTAACAATGTGATATTTTCTCGCGATGTGCTTGCCACGCTGATGACTCTTGGGTTTTTTAGCATTGGCAACCGCCCCACTATTATCGCAATAAAGCGTTATGGGCCCCATT